ACCCGGGGCGGCTGCGGCCTCGCTCTGCCTGGGGGCTCGCCTGGCTCCCCTGGGAATGGACAGAGCCCAGCTCCCCACGGGCCAGGTCACAGTCCGGGAGCAGGAGCCCCGCTGGGCAGGCAGCACGGAGGTCTCACTACCTTCCCAAACACTCACTGTATCGACTTCCCCTGGGAGCGCCTCTCCCGTTGGCCGGGCGGGGGGAGGGGTAGAAAACGGGCTGGAAGCCAGTGCTGCTCAGTGGTTGAGCGCTGACCCATGAGCCAGGAGGTCAGGGTTGAACTCCACAAGCTTTCCTTCTCCACACCGCAGCCCCGCGTAGAACAACGCGTCCACGTGAGTCAGGGGCTTGCTGTCCATATGATGTAAGGCTAAGAGCTCACAGAGAGCTCGGCTATAGCTGCCATGTTAACCAGTCAGTGTGCTGGGCAGGGGAGACAGGAGAAGCTGCTGAGCCAGCGAGGCTACTGAGGCTGTAGCTCTAAGGGACACGCCTGCGCAGGGGTGTCCCCTTTCACGGGTCCCGGCCTGCAGTGACTCAGGACAACGCCCCAGGACCTGGCAGCTCAGCGGTCCCCGTGCACACCCCACGGCCAGCCAGACGCCGTGGCCGCAGGTGGAGCAGCCTTGGGCCTGCCGTCCCCCTGCCCCAGCCACTGGTCTCTGAGCCTCTCAGCACAGGGCAGAGCCAGGCGGGGACATGCCGCCCGGGCTCCGGGGGGAAGATCTCCTCCAGCCCTTGCACCCCGTGAACGGGCACCCCCAGGCCGGCCACGGCACCGTGGGCTGCACGGCGAGGATGGGGCGTCCACTCCATCCCAGAGATTCGCTGCCTAAACCTGGATCCCAGAAGAGTCACTTCTTTAGGCATTTCAGTGACTGGAGCGCCCCCGACCCAACGGCCCAAACTGCCTGTTGGCCAATCGGATGCTGTGTGTTCACTCTCCCACGCGGACTCCTCCCCGCCTGGAGGCCTGTGGGCCACGGTCGCAGGCTCAGCTCCCAGCTCTGCCACCTCCTGCTGTGTGACTATGGGCAGGCGGCTCGCCCTCTCTGAACCCCAGCACCCTCAGAGTGAAAGGAGGGTCAGGAACACGACTGCCCCTCAGGTTGACAGATGTGGCTCCCTGACTCCACTGCCCTGCTCTGAGGGCTCCGCGTGGCTCTTTAACAGCTGTTACGACTGGTGTCCAGATGTCACAGAGAAACTTCGTCCCAAATCCACACTCTAGAACCCAGACGCTTCCACACCATCCCCACACCTGCCATGTCACTGGGTGTCTGAGCACAGACAACAGGAACTGCTTAAACCCAGGGGCGAGGGAGGACCCACGCCTGAGGCTTACCATTCCTGTGTGCACAATGGACGGTCATCGCCGCCCCGAGCAAGGACGCCCCCACCCTCGGGCCTCCTCCCCGCCACGGGCCCAGGCCGCGTGGGCAGTACTCACGGAGATGGTGCGCGTAGCGGAGGTGGAAGGCGTCGCAGCCGTGCACGTGGTGGTACAGGGTCTTCTCGATCAGGTCCTGCGGCTCGTACCCCGTCAGCTCGGTCACTCTGGGGGAGGGGACGGGGCTCCGTGAGTTACCCTGCCCTACGGCTGGGCTGCGTTTCACCCACAGTTCTCACTGGTTTTGCCAACCCATCAGATGCTAAAAGGCCGGGGGTGGGCGGGATGCTGATTTGGGAAACTAGGAAGGATCGTTTTTTACAAGAAGGTCTGAACTCCAGGCCGGGCTGGAGGGAGCGGCTACGAGCAGGCCAGCTCCTCGGAACCAGGACCGGAACCGCGGCGGGAAGGTCGGGGCTCCCCGCAGCCCTGGTCCAGGTGCAGCTCATCCGAGGACCTTCACCTCCCGAGTGGACTTGGATCTGATGTCAGACAAAGCTGCCACCTGAGAGAGAACCCTCTCTGGGGACTTCTGTGGGGACCTTTTTACAAATCACTGGTGAGTACGACCCGCCTGGTCAGGGGTTGAATGTCGACCTATGAACCAGAAGGTCCCGGTTCCATTCCTGGTCAGGACACATGCCCAGGTATTTAAAAAAAATGTCTCCTGGAAGAGAATAATTTAAAAAAATAAGTAAATAAAAAATAAAAATGTGGTAAAATAACTTGATCATGTTAACCATTTGTAAGTGTACCGTTCGGAGGCAGGAACTCCATCCACAATGCGGTCTGCTCATCCCCACTCCCACTTCCAGAACTTTCCACCCCTCCAAGCAGAACCTCTGCCCATTAAACAGTCCGTCCCCATGTGCCCTCCCGCCGTCCGCGGCCACTTCTACTCCACTTGCTGTCTCTCTGGCTTGTCTCTTCTAGATCTTTCCTCTGAGGGGAATGAGTCGGCATTTGTCCTTCTGTGTCTGGCTTCCCGCAGTCAGCATGATGTTTTCGAGGGCCGTCCACGTAGTGTGTGTCGGAATGCCACTCCTCTCGTGTTCCACGGCACGCAGACCCCGCATCTCGCTTATCTGCTCTCTGATGAGGGCGCCGGCTGTGTCCACATCTTGGCCGTGGCGTGTGTGACCTAGTCATCTCCAGGCCACACTGGCCACTGGCCACTGGCCACCGTCGGGATCAGGACGGCGTGTGGCTGGCGAGTCCTCGTGGGGGGAGTCAGGGCAGAACTGGAGACGCCGAAGCCTCACATTAGCGGAGAGGGTGGCTTTGGGCCCCCCAGAAATAGCATAACACGGAAACCATGGGGCGAGAAGGCCAGCCTTAAGCCCCCTGGAGCGGTGGAAGCATGCTCCCAGGGCGTGTGACGTGGCCCTCGCCGCTCTCTCAGCCCGGGCGCACTGCTCCCCGCCAGCACTTTGGAGAGGCACGGCTGCCCGCATCCCAGGCTGCAGGGCGCTCCGGCCAGGTGAAAACTGCATGTGGCTAACGCCCCGGGAACCGGGCCGGGAGGAGGTGGCCCCAACGTCCTGGCGACAGACACTCTAGAGCAGATGAAAGATTCCAGAGGAGTTGAGGCCCGGGGAGCAGCCGTCAGGGGCCCGGGTGGCCGGCCTGGCAGCCCTGCCCGTCCAGACCTGAAACATTAGCTGCAAATGAAACGGGGAAACTTGACCTCGCTCTCGTTCCCTCGCTCGCTCCCCTTTCTGTCGAGTTCTGTGCGGGCTCGAGTCGTAAATCTCGGGGAGCCTCATATTTCCCTGGAACCGCTCACTATTTGGTGTACGCATTTCCATGGCGCTGCGCGGGCAGGGGAGCCGGCGAGGTGGGCAGGCGGGGACGTGCCGAGGCCAGAGCCTCCGGGGCCCTGGGGACGCAGTGAGGCCCCC